AAAGAAGTGGTTATGATCCCTGGGGAGGTTGGCTTTTGCTACCTGAATATCAGACCTCTATAAATAACCACGTAAGTGGGGCTGAGCTCTCACTAGTGATAAGGGAGGGCGGCCACGCTCCTGGATCGGAGTCTTACACCCCCAACACTGCCTGCCTCTGTGAGCCCACACCTACCGCCAGCTGGGATCACGGGTTGCTCATGGCATCATCCATTATTGCTATTTGAAAGAGGCTTGGTTTTTGAGACACCAAATATTGTTTTACCTCTTGGGGACCAGCATAGCAGAGTGACCAGTGGATGAGCTGCAGAATCAGAAAGCATTAGTACAAATTCCCACACCGTGTTCAGCTTCACTGGCAGAAATCAGGCAAGTTCTTTGTCCTTTCAAAGCTGCCCGGGTCAAAAGCCAAGATGCTACCAGTAGCTTACAGATCAAGCAATCAGGATGCTGTGACATAGCCCTAAGAAGACGGTGAGAATTAAATCAGAAAATATACACAGTGAACATGCCCAGTGGCATCTCACCCCCGGCATAAAAAAAATGCTCAAGAGATGGGCACTCATATGTTTCCAGCACTACGACTATCAAGCTGTTCCTCTGTGGCATCTCCAGATCCCAGTAGGCCCCAGCTTGTCTACGGGGACTGACAGAAACATCACCGCACCAAGCGATTACAAGGATTCCGCAAAGCGATTGGGGAAACTGAGGCTTCTGTGGTTGTCGAGCGAGGCTGTTATTATTTGCACTGTTATCAGGCCTTCACCGATCTTCTGCCCTGAAAAGTCTGGGTAACTTTCGGAGGAAGGCTTGCAGCTAGGAGGAGAACTGGAGATGTGGGAGGACACACAGGGCTGAAGTGTGAGGGTGCGCCCTGCAGACTCACCCCTTCCCTAGCTGGTCGGCCACGAGTTAGTTAACCCTTCCTTCGCCTGGATGCATTTCTTCCAGCGAGCTGGAAGACCAACATTTTAAAAAATACTCTGACCTTCCCTGGTGTCAATAGGAAACAATATTTACTCACTACTGTTTCCCTTTCAAAAATCTGTCTAGCTGCAAACTAGAAAGTTTCAGCTGGCTTGTTTGTCTTGGACAGAGGGCTGAAGTGAAAAGTTACTGCTTGGCGGAATGTGGGCCAGTTTCATAACCTTCACGGAGCGCAGGGCAGGTGGACGCCAGCCCCGGGGACGGCCGCACCTCTCCTCGGGCTGCTCACCACCCCCGGCCCACGGTGCTCGCGTAATTAAATGAAGACCATGGTGAGAGCCACCAAGCAACTCAGACCGAGTCCCTCTTGCTTTTATTTGGTCACCATCATTGTGTGCAACATGTGAAAGCCCAGGAGGAAAGCCAAGTTCAAACCAGATGACATCCCAGCTGGTTTGCACAAGTCCCCTTGTACACACACACACACACACACACACACACACACACACACACGTGCACGGGAACCATGCTACTTGGAGAAGCAGGGGGTATTTCAGCTGAGACAGATGCAGAAAGAAAAAGACCAGAGAGAGAATCTCTGTGCTCAGGCTTTCTATTTTCTGCTTTGGAAGGAAAAACAAGCCTCTCTTGGCTGCAGAAGACAAGATCTGTAAGACTGACCAACTAGGCCTCAGTTCTTTTGCTCCATGTCTCTCAAATGTGAAGAGCAGGACGCTCCTGAGTGTTTCTTTCTGCAAATTTGTAATCAGTAATCTTCAGAGGAAAGCTATGGGCCAAATATCTCACGAGGCTTTCTCTGTGTTGTTGCTATTTCGTTCTTGAGTGTTTTCTCAGCTTCGGGATTTCAGATTCCTAAAAAGCTTTTTTCTAAGCTGGAATGCATTTTAAATTTAAGTTTAAAAACAGGGATAAAATTTAAATTAGTGGAATTCCATGTCTGTAAGCTAATTTGGTTAGCAGTTTTGTTGGAAGGCAGTATCCTTAGTAATAGCAATTGCGGGGCTTCAATGCACCCGTATCATCCGCAGGACCACACAGAAGTATCTTAAAGAGTTTGGGCACATTTGTGGTCCTATCCGGTGATTCCCCTTCATTTTTCTAGAACACCACGATAGGAAAGCAGAATAGGATATAAGTGTAGAGATGCACTCTTACTAGTAGCTTATTTTACAAGGAGTTACTTTGCAAAGCAATAAGTGCTTGTTAAGTGGATTTGCTAAAAATCATACACTATTTGAGTGGGAAGTGCCAGAATTTGAAGCCAGTAGCATTTGGGGTTATTCCATTCAGCTGCTTCTACACTGGCCCCTCAGCTGACAACCCATCTATTCCCTGTTCAGTCGGTACAGGGTACTGACTATCAACTCACAAAGTGCAGATATCCTTAGGAAAGACTCGGAAACAAAACTCTACTGAACTCTATTTGTGTTTGTACTTTCTTTCTCATACAACCTGTATGAGAAATACCGCCAAGTCCCTGGGAGCCTTGGCCAGTTGGTGTCTTTTCCAAGGAATGATAAATGGGTTCCCTGGATTCAGTGTTCAGCCCTCTCAGCCTCTTTGGCCACCAGCTCTGAGCATCCTTAAGTCCCTCAGCTCCCACGGGGGTTGTAACCAGGTAGAGGTGGTTACTAAGCCAGCAGAAAAGTCCAGAGAGTCCAGCCACCCCGGCAGGAACACGGATGTAGATATTGAAAGAAGCCTGTTCTAGGGATAAGAAAGCCTGTGCTTCCTTAAGCCTGTAACTGCCACCCCATCCTCCTTTCCAGGACCCGCCAGCTCAAAATAAAAGCAGAAAAAGCATCTTAAGAGGATGAATCGAAGCACCATTCCCCTCTCAATCTTATTTCAACTATCCTTGTTTTCCTAAATATTTTGCGATTTAAATATATTCAAGACTAAAGCAGTGACTATGGGGGAGTCCGAGGACTTGGTTCTGCATTTTTTAAAATTTCATTTTAAAGAGAATAAAACCCAGCAAAATAAAACATAGCAAAGCCAAACAAAGCAAGACAGTATAAGTGACACAGGACTTCAAAACAGAACAATGGGAAATCAACAATGGTCACATAATGCCGCTCCTTGTCTTCAAAATAGCCACCCATACCTTCAGACACTGTAAAACCAAACAAAACAGAGCAGAGCAGAACCAATAAAGACAAAACAATGAATGCAATACAGGACTTCAAAACAAGATTCCAGTAAATCCAAAATGGCTACCATAATAGTTCATATTATCTTTGAAATAGCTGGACAGGACACAATAAAATCAAACAAGAAAAAGCAGAATAAAGCCCAATCCAACAAAACAATGAGAATGATACAGGACTTCAAAACAAGCTAATAGGGAATTAACAATAGTTACCATCTTCGGGCTACCCTGCATATCCTCTGACTAGATGATCAGACCACCAGCTTTAGACCTGCAAAGTCAGTGAAACACTGAACACCACAAGCACTAAGCTGTATTTCACTTCCATAGCTATCACTGCAGCCTGTGTTTCTCTGGATCAGCCAGTCGCTTTGGAGGTGGAGGTGCCCACACACTGGAAGGGACTGGTTTCTGGCTCTCCCCCAGTTAGCCCTGCACGTGGCGCCGACTCACAGGAGTCTTAGCTTGTTATTGACTTCCAGCTCTCCTCTCCCACAGTCCACGAATGATGCTGATTCACAGGAGAGGGCTGGCATCTCTGTTTTGCCTTTTACAAGGGGCCTCTTCCTGACTGCAAGTGCTCATTCATTGTAACTCACCCTCCAGATGGTCACTGAGCACCTGCAGTGTCTTGGGCACAGTTCTGGGCATTGGAGCCAGAACCATGAACAGACAGACAAGTCCTGTCCTTAAGGGCTTCTATTCTGAACAAAATTCAATTCCCTGAATGGTAGCCTTGCTGGTTGAAGAAGAGCTCAGCATTCTTTGGTTTGGGAAAAACCGCTTTGTAATGAAGATGACATAATAATAAAAACAAAAACTGAGTCAATAACAGCACTAATAACACTTTTATACACATTAATTGCTGAATTTGTAATGCAATCAGAGAGGCACTATTGAGCATCTATTTTATGAATAAAGAAACTGAGACCCAAAAGACCAATACTTGCACCGGTTCACATGGCTGGGAAATGAAAGAGCCAAGATTTGAGTTGAGCTCAGGATATCTGATTTTACAGACTTTAAATCTGTTAGAAAAATCCCAGTCTTCTCCTCTCAAAATGTGACCTTTCTCCAGAGAAGAAAAAGATAGAAAGAAAATGAAATAGCTCATTCTCATAAAAGTTAAGAGAGAACAAACTACAGTAAAAACAAAAGAGGATAAACTGGGCAGAGGGGCGCTGTCCTCCCAGCACTCTGGAGGCCGGAGGATTGTGAGTTTGAGGCTGGGCTGGGTTACATAGTAAGATCCTATAAAAAAAAGAAAGGTCCTCAGTTCAACTTCTAGTATAAAAAATAATAGGGCATGATCTCAGAATCTGGCTGATTTTTTTTTCTCATTAGGAAAAAGGGGTACAGGGGCAAAAGCAAGGATTTTCAGGATCTCCTTTCCTATGAGTGAGTCTGAGTCCATGACAGACGGGTAGAAATGCTTCTTTGTGTGATGATAAATCTGTAGTATCCACATCATCTGGGACATAGAGAAACTGCCCATATGAGATTTGCCTGAACTATTAACTGAAGGCCTATCTGCCTCTACATATCTTACTCAGAAAGTCCAAGGCCCAAAGCCCACTTTTAGCTTGACTGACAAGAGGCTGAGACTCCAGTGTTAGAAACTGACGCAGGAGGAATCAGTACTCTTCTCCCACGGCACAACAAGACTGTGGTCTCCAACACTGCGCTGTATGTTTTATAAAGTGCACCGAGGCAGTCTGAAGGCTCACATCATAAAGAAATTACCATGCCCATACCCTGTTTTGATCTTCACACCTTGCATACGTGTGTTGAATTATCCATTACGCTACAACCCATACCTGGTACCATTTATAAAAGATTAATATTTTTTGAAGAAATAAAATCTCATCCGGCTAATGTCTTTTTCTCCTCCAATTTACAGGAAGTACATTTGAAGAATGCAAGCAGGGGCAGTGCGGGAAACAAGAACTACAGGATGTAGGAAGAAGCTCGGGAGGGTGAAGAACGACACGTCACCGCAACGTCCCTTCCTCCGCGCAAGTCACCTGTTAAACATTGGAACGCCTCCCAAAATATAAGTTTGATAAGGTTTCCAAGATGGGCATTTCCCCCAGTGAAATATACAAGTAAACATTCCAACATCGTCTTTAGGAGTGATTGTTATCAGCCTTGCACTTGCCAAACTGGTCCTGGAGTTGGTAGATCGCTGTTGATTCTTTATCGATCATGTTCTATCGAGAAAACTGTATCCGTCTTAGTCCCCAACCCACAAGAGCCACAATGCATGGGTGTTATTTAGATCCAGTTGCACTAAATTCCTCTCTGAATCTTGGTCGCTGGAACCAGTTCAGCAATCTGTGTAAGGGGTTGATGAAATGTTTCCTCATTTGCACTTCTTCCTACGTAACACGGCTGTTGGTCTCACAGTATCTAATAATCCTTGTCTCTCTCCACCACGCCCTCCAGAACATTGCAATTTGGCAAACGTGGCCTCCTCCAAAGCAAAGTAGCAAGTCACCCGCTGAGTTTAATCTACCAGACTCCACCTGTGGCATTTGTACCAAACATAAGTTGATGCATTGATTTTACACACAAAGCTTTAATTTTTCCACATCGTGCCACATGCATGCGCACACACACACATGCGCACACACACACACACACACACACACACACACACACACACTAGTCGCACCTTTGAGGCCAATCATTTTTAGGTGTATGCTCAAATCACAGAAAGTCTCAAGTGGTTCCTTCGAAGGATGAGTTAGTGTGCAACCTGATTGTCTTCCTCTCCTTTTATTTTTCCATATCGAGCACTATGTAAATTTAGCATATCAATAATACAGATAATACAGGATATATCAAACCGTATGTAAAATTCTGGTTTTTTGTTTGTTTTGTTTTGTTTTTAGTGCAATGGTGCTATTTTGTAGTTTGTGATATGAAAGAGTCTGGTCAAAACGGTAAAAGGTGAAGCAAAATGAAAGGGAAAGCCTGGAGCCAAAGAGGGAGCCCCGGGGCCGAGAGGAGAGCACCCCACCCCTGGCGGGAGCGCGCAGCCTCCCACTCACCCGTCAGCTTCAGATGCTGGAGGCTGCTCGCGCAGATCCGACCAGGGCGTCCAGAGGCAGCCGTGGAATGCGGAGGGCGGAAGGCCAGGGCTTTCACACACACCTGGTAGCTCTGCCCTGGACTCACCACTGCGTGACCCTGGGCAAGTTTCTTCACCTCTCTGTGCCTATCTCCTCATCTGAAAAATGGGGCAATATGTCATCTACCTACCTCAAAGGGGTGGCATGAGGGTCAGCGCCATGAAGATGCAGATCTTTACCCAGCTTTGCCCGCGGGTGCACCATCAGAGCCCCTGAATTGCTGGGGTGTGAGGAATTCCCCCAATAACCCATTCCCCACACAGATAGAGAGTTTTTAATTTAATGTCTCGATACTCAGTCCCAATCACTGCTGTCCAGTTAACCAGCTAGGTTTTAACAGCTGACAGCTCAGTCTGTTTTGAAACGATTTCCAAAATGTTCAAAGCCTTGGATTTACAAGTTGGTTTTGAATTTTACCTTTGAACATACAAACATAAAGGGAAGTGAGACAAGAGAAAGCGAAAGTATAAAGCTAGAGAAAAGTTTCCACCATGAAAGGGCAACCGATTACTCCATTAGTTAGCTCTTACTAGTGATCCTTACTGATTCTCCCAGACAGCTTTCATCTGTCTAGTAGCTCCTCTTCTAACATTATAAATTATACTCTATTCATTTTGAAAAATGCATTTTTCTTTCTCTTTAGAAAATATAAGACATATGTCCAGAGATTTTAAATATCGAAATCATATCTAATAAAAATTTCAAAAGAACTTTTCTTAATGCATTTTGACTTTAAATATTGAAATAATATCTAATAAAAAGTCACAAAAGAACTTTCCTTAATGCATTTTATTCTTATCCTTGGTTGTATACACATATTTTTTTTCAAATTTTGTTAAAATATGCTAAGTATCATTGCTAGTTGAGAGGCAAAACTTCTGTTCTCAATCTTCAAATTCCTCCCCATCTGCCCAGCTGGGCCTTAGACATTTGACCCCACAGTGGTACCCAGGAAATCCCACGGCAAGGATGAGGCCATCCATGGGAGCCTAGAAATTGCTCCTGGTCTCTAGATCAAAACTGTCCTAATAGGCAATGAATTATCCAGCATCTGCCTTAGACTTTTTAGTAAAAAAAAGCTCAGGTTGGATTGTCTCACACATATTGAATGCTTCACATTGTTAACAAGTGGATATACAAAGCAAAACGGATAGCTTCCATCTCCATCTCACTGGCTTTGCTCAAGGTGCAGAGGCCAGGAAAAGAGAAAAGCTTTCCACGCTCCGAAGCAGAGTAGAAGGAGCTGCAGAGCGGAGGCCTCGGGGCCAGCCCTTCAACACCCAGGCCCCGGGGCCCCAGCGCTCTGGGGGCTGCACCAAGGCTCCTCCTGGGCGAGCTCAGCAAGCTCCAGCCGAGCTCCATCCGAGAGATCTCTGTCGCCCTCTGCTCCCTCTCCAGACTTGCGTCCACTCCCCCGATGGCACCTGGGACTTTTACTTCTTGTTCCCAGCCTGTACCTTTTAAAATTGCTGACTGCCAAAGAAACATTTGCAAGGAGTCTTCCGCAGATTTATGGGTTTCCTGACCCGGTTGGATGTGGTCATTCTGAGTGGCTATGACTTACTTTCTTCATTTAATTCTCTGAACAGTCAAAAGCTTCCAATGAGGAAAGCTTAAACATACAATACCATGTTTTATTGTTTTAAACTTTTTCCAATAATCCTCTCCAACCAGGTCATAATTAACTAATAAAAAATTAATTATACGGCTGGGCCTGCTGGCACATGCCTGTAATCCCAGCAAGCTAGGAGGCTGACTCAAGAGGATCATGTGTTCAAATCCAGCCTGGGCAGCAAAGTGACTTAGGGAGACCCTTTCTCCATCAGTCGGCCAGCTAATCCAACATTTTATTTCCAGGTGAATTAACACTAGAAGGCAAATCACCGTAAACTCTGCAGGGCAACTGACCTCTACATACTGCCGCAGAATGACCCGGGATTGATTGAAGGAGGGGTGCACCTAAAATTTCACAGCTCTTAGAAGCTTTGGTATGAGTCTTACAAACTTTAGCACCTGGAAATGGGCAATTTGAAAATGTTTATGTAGGAAGTATAGGACTGGTGAGACTGTGCTTTTAGCAACAGGCTTATTTCCATCTTAACTGGTAATCCTCAATGCCTCGGACAAATCTTGATTCTTTTTCTCCTAGTACTGTAGATTATTATTTAAACACTTTTAGATGAAGCAGTTCCACTGAAAAGGTTCATTCAGCTCTGTCAAATTCCACTTTTTTAGGGTAAAAGAAAAACTCTCTGTGGGTACTACTGTTTTGGAAGTACCCACTCTCTGTCTCTCTGTCTCTCTGTCTGTCTGTCTCTCTCTCTCTCTCACTCTCTCTCTCTCTCTCATACACACACACACACACACACACACACACACACACACACACACAATCCACCAAAATACTAAGAAATTCCTTCCTTGAAAGTTTTATTAAAAACCAAAGACCAGAGAAACCTGTCCCTCCCCCACTCCCCGTCCCTCCTTGGAAAGCTGACATCCCTGCAGGTGGAACCGTCCCTGCTCTGTGGCTCCAGGGTTTCTGTTACTGGTTTATGCACTTAAGAGAAGGCTTACAAAGAAAACTGTAGCATATTTTTGCTTTCCCATTTATTGTTTGGCCAGCTACGCCAATGTGGTGCTATTGTTTCTTTAAGAAAGTACTTGACAAAAAAAAAAAAAACATAAAAAAAAGAAAGCATAGACATATTTTTTTAAAGTATGAATACAATTCTCTAGATAGATGGCTTAAAAATAGCGTAGGTCACCACCACCTTTCAACTTTTTAATCACTTCTAAGCATTGGTCCCCAAGTGATGCGTTGGGATACAGAGGCAGCAGATGCATACTAGTAAAGGTAAAAGGCTCCGTGATTCTGCTGGCTCTCAAACTCAACAAAATCAGTCATGCATTATCCAGTCTGAAGACGTCCATGGAGAATGTGGAGTTTCAGCGGAGGGAAGATAGAGATTCTGTTGCTTATCGATTTTTTTTGTGCATGCTCTGCTCTAAAATGGATATTCAAGCAAGTACAGCAAATAAAAACAGAGAGAAAAATACATCGATTCACCTGCTACTAAAATAGCTCCCGCCACATCCTCTGGGGTAGCTTTGGCGCCCACGGCCCTCCTGGTGACATCTCTTCCCCTGGGGAAGGAGAGACTTTCCTCAGGAGAGGGGGGTTATCTACTGATCAAGAAAGAGGAAAACTGATGGGAAATTCTTGAAAGAGATGGCTACCGATCTGTGAAGATTTTTGTAGTTTTTGGTTTTTGTTTTCTTTCTGCAGTCTTTATGAATATCTTGATGACTCGGTCTTTCCCTTCTTTTTCTTCATATTGGAATAAGGGATGATGAGGTAAACCCACCTGAGCTTTTTAAATTGTAGGCTAGAGAGGAGTGGATGTTTGACTTACTGAATCAGACTATTTAAGCTGTTTTGCTATTTTTAATCTTAAAAGGGTGTCCTAATTTATTAGAATAGAAGCTATGTGACTCTTCTCACAGGAAAGCGCGTTCCCATTCTAATTTCACGGGCTCTCCAGCAATGTGTTTTTAGGTGTGGTTTACCCCTTGGCATCATCCGCCTTCAAATACAGGAGAAGGCCGTGAGCCACTCTTCCCCTCCTCGGGGTGAGCACAGCGCCCAAGGTCAGAGGGGGCAAAGGCAACAGAACAGCTTCCTACAGTCTTGTGTGAGTTTATATTTTGTTTTCAATGCTAGCATTTAATCCTATGTACCTATTTGCTTACTGCTATTTTGATATTCTATACGATTTTCCTGGTAGGTATTAGACATTGATACTTAGGGTCTTGTTTTTGTGTGATTTCGATTTAAAGAGAAGACAAAAGAGATTTAAATGCATATAGTACAGGATAAAGATACCAACATAAGTAACAAAGTCTGTTTACAGAGTAGCCCCCTACACACACACACACACACACACACACACACACACACACATTTTTAGAAAGGAAAAGTCACACACAGAGGCCCTGGGGGATTTTTGAAACCACCTTGATTCCCCTCCAAATTTTCCCTTCAGAATCTGCATCTGTATTGTGTACACGGCCCCAAACTGAAGCCCTAGGATTCCTCTTTAAAACACATTCCACCATTTCTTGATCACACGCATCTTAAGCCTCGTCCTGCCCTCTCCGTATTTTTCAACTGTCATGGATATGAACTATCTCAAAGAAATCTTTTTTTAATTTAGAAAAAGAGCGAGACAGAATACAAAAGTCCAAAAGGAACTGCTAACCTGAAATACAAGCTGAGGTGGAAATAGTTTCTCCTACTTAAAATCCAGCTTGACTCACCTTCACGACCGGCTTTTCACGATCCTTGGGTTTTGTCTTTTTTTAAATTACCAGACCTAAAAGCAAGTATCATTCATTTTCTTTTGCCCAAAATGCACTGATGTAAAGTAGGGGGAAAAAATGAAAATTGGGCTCTAAAATCTCCTTCCAAGCCACCCACTGACCCCACTCACCTACGACAGCAAAGTCACGTCTGTGGATCTCTCAATCTAATTGTGTTCGGATATTTATCTGTACCTGCTGCTAAGGGAACTCTGAAACCTCAAGCTGTCTACACAACATCTCCTCTCTACGTCTATGTATCATCAAACATCTAGTCAAACTGTCAGACACCTTCACACATCACGTAGCTTACATTCAGTTGATATAAAAGCCCCAGATTCCACGTTGGATCTCATTTTTTGCA